AATAGGCCTCTCCCCTTGAAAAAGAGCAAGCTTTTTACCAGTTCAGTGGTCAATCAATGCCTCTTTGATGATAAAATCTGTCTGATGAACGGATCAGCTCAATTAGCGAAAAAGTTCCATCAAGTGGTGTTTTTTTTTGAGTTAACAGAGCCAACAGAAAGAAAACACATCGGTTACAAAACCCAGTAATTGTTGATATAGGCTGTAGAGTTACAGACAATGAAACTTGGCTTAAAAATTGAAAATATTTTTCTTTTCCTTTCCCATTTAGTTTGTTTTGTTTATGGTGATGTCTGATGGTGCATTACTGTTCCACTTCTTAAACGTAATGTGACTCTGAATAAGAGTTTGATTATTTCAATTCCTCATCGGAAATTTTAAGTTTTGTAGATTCTCGTATTTCAGCAAGAGTCTAATAATATATTCTCGTGTTCAAAAGATCAGCGGTCTGCGATGACGATCACGTACTTTTTTTCTTTCTTTTTTTATTTCTTCTTATAATTTCAACCATTACGGAGACTCTTGAAGACACAATTACTTAACGTTGAATGAATAGGGTAATTCGGCATTTTAACATAACAAAGAAACATTTTTATTGTGATTTGAAAAGAAGATGTTGTCTCGATTCCAGCTGATGTAAACACTGCATATAACGACAGGGTATTAACGAATGCTTATGTTCAAATCTTTTTGTCATTCATATTCGTAAAAACTCCTTGATTTTCGCTATCAACACGCTTTGAGCGGATAATTTGCGCGCTAGCAACGCATAAGTACTTGCAGTAACACAGCAACACGTTAATCACGCAAACCTATCGGGAAACGTTTCCTATCTTCTGAAACAAGAACGCTTCATATAATGGTAGAGCATCGACATTCGACTTCATTTGGTTGGTTTTATTCCTAAAAATTCTTTTTCGGTACAGTACTCTTCAGTGCCGCAAAATAAACACCATTAAGTCATTTACTTGCCTCTGAAAAGATATCACCTCCTTCCGATCCTGATACGCTTCTTGGTTGCCATATCGCAGCCTTGTAAAGAAAGTATTTTTCTTCACGGAAATTTGTATGGTTTCATACTCGTATCCCTTTCAGATACAACACTTGACGTGTGTTATTGTTTCATAGTTATGAAGCCTCGTTTTCAGACTTCAAAATGACCAAGAGAATGATGGGAAATGTAGACCCAATCAGTGTACCAATTAAGCCACAGACGGCCAGACTTGATGGAAATTACTCTCTAGAAACCACATGATTTTTAACAGATAAGATAAGTAAATCATTAATTATGACCTTAACCAGGTTTTGAGATTCCATAGATAGACTCAACCTTTCGAAATTTTTGCAACTGTGTAGAAAATTCAACGACTGTCTTAATTCTTAATTCTTAATTTTTCTTAGCAACCTGGCCTCTTACCTAAGACTTCATAAATTCTTAATTTCTTAGGGAAAGGCAGGACCCCATGGGCTCCTGGGATAGGTTATTAATTGTAGCCTGGGGGTAATCTTATAGGGCTCTTGGAAAACTCGAAGTGTAAACAAGCAATTTCGCGAGTCGCGGCGGGAAAACTTCTTGTGTCCTGGATTGACCGCGGACATTTTGTCAATGCGTACTTCGTTTAACTCTCTCACTCCCTTGAGTGACCAAGACAGAATTTCTCCTCACAATATCAGTACAATATCAAACAGACAAGTGGTGAGAATAACGAAAACTATAAACAAGGTGATTATTTGTTGATCCAATAACAAATTATCCGAACTTACATCGTATAAAATGTATGGCAGACAGTCAAGAAAATTACCAATAAGATCTGGAAGGGGAGTGTGAGTTGAGAGAATATGTCTCTATGATCAATGAAGGTTTCTATAAACTACGCGTCATGCTGTGAAGTTATTTTTATTTTTCGCTTTGGTGATGGCGCGACCACGAGATCATTTGTTGCATCGGTTTCTGGCTTGCGAATAATTTCACTAATGGTCTGAGGTCGTAGTTCTTGGGTACAAGTCTAGAGTGATCAGTGAAAAATTGTTAATATGAAATCAACTATTGATGGTCATGCCCTATTATTTGAGTGAGAAAATTCCTGAGTGAAACACGTTACAGGTTACACGTTACAGGTTACACGGCAGAACTCAAATGGTGCAGTCTGTTGTCATTGCCGTTGTTGACAGAAATGCGATTATTTTTGCTTATAACCTAAAACTCTGTTTCTCTTGGGTGTAAGATTTCTTATTTAAAGATTTTCCTCTTTGAAGTAAATAAGCCAAAATTATATACCTGTTTGTTTTCCTGGGACCCAGCAAGTGGCCATTGCTTCAGTTGTAACAAGCTAGAAACACTACAGCGGAGGTCGCAGAGTAAGACGGCAGGTAGCGTTGAATAAAATACATAATATTTTAACCTTTGGATGAATTGGAAGCAAAGAAATGATTCTCGCGGATGATTTGCAATTAAAGGAATTGGAGAAAGGAAACCTGAGAAAAAAATTAGCCTTTGACGCGATTCGAATGTGTGCCTGGGGTGCTATTACCAACTGAGAAAAATGAAATTGAAACTTTTTTCAATTGAAGCTCACCTGCGGGAACCATTTCTTTACTTCTTTACTTTTACGACAAGTTGAATATTAATTTGTACGTTCTGGATCATGCGAAGGGCGGGTGAGAGAAGATGTACGTGTACATGTATGAACATATTTTGACAGTACCTGGTCCGTCACAAGGAACTCTTATGTTTAGCGATTCCAGTCAAAAACCTTCAATTGTCTTTGGGTAAAAAATAAAAATTTTCCCTGGCAGACTTTGTAATCGGCTCATTGAAAAAAGAAACCTCTAATACGCATATATTTCTGAATTTAACAACGTTAAAGTTAATGGTGTCTGGATTTTCATATGCTGATTCATTTGAAATAATTATGTGTGTTTCTGTGGAATTGTTTTAAAAGAGAGCACACCGTGATGTCTATCAAACAGAAAATAAATGTCATTAAAGGTAATCCTAGACAAACACGGAAAAAACATGAAAGGCTAAGTCGCGCCTGATTAGTTTTGGTTTTACATCTGAATGCTTGAGAAAATTTGCCCGACCAGTTACAGTGTAATTAGAGCGATCCCGATTGAAAATTTCTCGGAATAAGTTAAAATCTATGGATTACCGCTCGTTATTGTTAATTACAGGATTTTATGGGAAAACCTGAGAAACTCCACTTTAAGTAGGTTTTTTGCTTAGCTTCAGGTGATAGCAGTGTTGACCAAGATGACGATCCCTTAGCCTACAGCTCAGGCGTCATTTTTTAGCGGCTTGTCAGGGGACAGAGGAAAAAGCGCGGTGAGCGCCCGCTCCCCTCCTAGTGCATGACTCACGCTTCGAACTTGCCTATGTTCGCCTGAAAACGCCTGTTCTACAGGCTAAGGATCCTTAGAAGGTGGAATTGACAGAATGAGTTCCTCGGCCTTCCACGTTCTTTGTTTGAAAGTTTCTTTGAAGTGTAACTGCTGCTATCACACAAGCGTAGCATATAAACAGGGTACAAGATGGATAGAACTGAAATGGTTTGCAGACCTTAATGCCTCTGATAAAAAAAGCTGAAACTAATCTTCTGTTCATGTACTCTATTAAACGAGATGAATCATTGTTTTAGTTTCGGTCCTTTGGTCTAAGAACAAGTTATCTCAAAAGTTAATTTTTATCTCGAAATATGCCCACCTGTGTCGTAATTATAACAAACACAGTCATAGACCCAAGTCGTTAGGCTCTCGATAAAATATGACAGTTAAGGCTAAAAGTGCATAATAAAACTACCAAACATGAGTTGAACAGTGTTTTTTGCGGGGCAGAAATCGCAAACGTGATTGGAAAGATAAAGTGGGCATGTGTTATTTTTAATTTCTAATTTTTAATTTTTTTTTTCTTAAAGCGCTGTGTAGAATATTTTTAAGCCTCAAGGGTTCTGCATATTTTTTCAAAATAGATTTTTATAAATGAATTTGTAATGACTTTTATCATCCCTTGTATATTGTGATGTTTTTTTACATTTTCAAAGATAAGGTTTAGAATGTAAATCAGTTATTTTAAGGATCGAATTTAACATCTGAATCGTTGGATTAGTGGTACAAAAAAAAATTGTTCGTTGGGATGTGAAATTTAACTTTGGAGAGGTTCAAATCACTGATGGAAAATCTCTTCAGCAAAAGAGTTAACATGCAGTGGAGTTTATTGCGAATGCACGAATCAGTTCTAATTAAGTTCAAGACGAGAATTCCCTTTTGCGCGCGCTCGAAAGTAAAGTTTTAAATCGATAAATAGATTCCTTGTACATGTTACCATGGGTCTGTTCTGTTCAGGTAGTAGATCACAGTTGATGTCGATGTGGTGTGACACTCGGCGGTTACTTATTCTATGCGTCTTGTCCTCTTATCACCGCCAGAAATCAAGGACATTTCGAGCCCGCTAACAATTATCAGCGGTATATCATACTACACTCCGGAACAATAGAATATCAAGAGAATTCAATATGGCGGCGATCACGGCTCGATCTGCGAAGAAGAGTGTTTCGTACCATGACTTATACAATTTGAGCACCGCAGATCTTCTATTTGATGAAAAGAAAAAGAAAAGAAGACCTGCAAGTAAATCTTTGGGATTGGACGTAAATCTTTGGACGCCATTATGGACGAAATGCGCAAGCGCGGCCGCCATCTTGTCCAATATTTCTGCCGATGTATATCATAGGTAAAAACCAAAAAGAACACGCGTGCATAACTCAGCTTATCATTGAACTTGGTTTGTCTACCACAATTATACCACAAAATGACCAATTCAAATAAAATACGTGCATTTTCCCAACCGTTGAACGTTGTTTCAAGTGCTGTGATGCGCGCTGAGGACGTTCAAAGAGGCGTACTTGATTGGTTTTGCTGAGAATGTTGTGCAAAAGTATTTCATGCGATTTCTGACACTAATTCCATTTGAATGGATTTCCCATCAAAAGAATGAATACACATTTTTAAGAACGCTTTTTTTAATTGTTTTCTACACCCACTTCGTTGGAATACAGTTGTGATCAACAATTTTGTCAATACCTCTACCTACACCTTAAATGACTTGTAAGAACAAAGCTAAGCAGACCAATGCAGATATCATACTCTTAAAAGCTAAAATCTCATTTATGCATTTCTTAGCCTTCACAAATAGAGCGGTTTTCAATTAAATGTCGAAAGTAAGCAAGGATTGTTTTGGTTTTGCTTCACTTTATCCTGTGATTGGTCAAAAACTAAAAACAATCGTGACTTGGTCACCCGCGTTTTCCCGCGCTTTATGCAATTTAGTTGTCTTTACTATGAGTTCTCATTGGCTCTTCAGAAAACGTTTTCCTGCGCTTTATGCAATTTAATTATTTTTACTCTGAGTTCTCGTTGACTTTTCAGACAACTTTAGTTTGGGTTTTACAACACCCAATCGAAATGCGCTCTATCGTGTAACAAGATTAATTTGAACTGAAGCTATATATACAAGTAGTAATAGGAACAAACCGCTTTCCACCCATGTTAATGATTATAATACTGTTGCTGCATTAACAAACAAACAATGGTAGCCTAGCTCACAAAAGCATTAATTTGAAGCTAAACAGTATAATTTAAAGTAGCTATTGTGACCCAAATATTTTTTTAATCTTCTTTGCTAGAGTGCATAACTGCATAACGTGTTTACTATACACAGTAAACTAACGTCCAAAGATAGCATTGGTTTAACTAAGCTTAGATATACAGATTATATTGCTGCACATGTTCGTTAAAATCGAAGAAATGTAAAATGGTTTCCGTGTTTACATAGCCTGATGTAAACACGCGGGAGGTTGGGAGAACACGAGATAAGCGTAGGAAACCACGACGCGAAGCGGGGTGGTTTCCAGCTTATCGAGTTATCGCTCCGTGATTGGTTGGGGAAAACTCGGCCAATCAGCTGAAAAACTAAAACCAATTTTGATTGGTCACTCGCCTTTTCCCGCCTTCAGGCAGTTTGCGTGTTTTCACTTTGAGTTCTCATTGGCTACTCGCGATATTTACCTATATTCTGATTGGCTATTTTGACTGCTTTGTTTTTTTGTCTGAGCCTAATTTACATCATCAACTCAGTTGATAAAACCAGTTATCTTGCAACATCTTATCTAAAATTGCAAATTTAATTGAATTCTTCACAACTGTAGCTATTTAAAGATCTTGAAAATGAATCGTCACCGAATGTAACGATTCGGCAAACGGTGAAAACCAACTCTCTTCTCACAAACCTTCTATCAAATGTAGACTGGAAAACTGAGGCAAAAGATCTTTTGATGATGGTTAATACAAATGTTTCAAAGTATAATTGAAACGGCTGAAGACAGATGGCAACTTTTCATTGACGTCATTTGCCACCAACGTCGTGCTAACCTCTCCAATAATCGACCGTTTTCATCTTCATTTAAATCGATAGTGATCGTCGCTTGGTTGGAAATCCTTAAAGACTGCACCATTCAATCTTAGACTAATTTGATTCATTTTATCTTAATGATCACCCTCTTTGATCCCCTTTGAATTGCAATTCAGTAAAAATCATTATTATTTTGTTTCTTTCTTTGTCGTTTAGTTTTCTATTTTATTTTACGCATACAATTCATTTCGAAAGAGTTGGTTGGACGCATCAATTTTGGGTCAAAACGAATAGATTTTGAGCGACTTAAAATGATTATTCTGCCGTTCGGCACGAAATCATTCTAATGAACGCTTTGCGGTAGAAATTACTCATCATTCCGTAGAAAACAGGATGCAGGGCATTTGGTAAGTTTGTTAAAGTAAAAGCAAACCTGGAAAAAGCGTAGCGATGGGTCCATTGTTTGAACGACTCCACGTTAAACTCAAACAATAGGAACTGAATTTGATAAGGAATATAGCAAACTACAAATATCAGCACGATCGCAAAAACCATCTTTAGTAAGTCGCTCTCCAGGTCAAAGCTGGCTTTGTTTTTTCTCGAGGATTCGTTGCTGTTTGGCATCAGGGGGTTCTCAGTTTCCTTGTTATTCTTTCCCATGTTTCTGTACGGAGAGTCCGTGTTTATCCTGCTGTTTGTTGCCATGTCAGCTACCTCGATATTTTCCTGGTCTTCTTCTGCCCTAGTTCTAGCGTTAGTTCCAGCTGCATCCATATCTCCTAAGCAAGTGGACGGACAAGCTGCCGACATAGCTTTACTTTGCGCGTTTCGGAGCCTGGTAATAACAAAGATATGTTCCCTTATCTTCTTGCTGACTAAAGTGTATGACACCGCCATTATCAAAAGTGGCACTACAAAGTTGATAACAAAGATGAAAATGGAATAAGTATTTTGGTAATGGAAATAACTTGCTGGAAATATTTCTTCGCAGATGTGATAGTCCACACATTTTATCCTGTACACTTTCACAACACGAAAAACCGATGAAGGAATCGATAGCGTAATGGATCCCACCCAGGTGATAATAATCAGACAACGAGCTTGTCGGCTGGTCGGTTTGGTAATGAGCGGCCTGACGAGGACGAGACAACGATAGACAGCAAGAATCGCCAAGGTTGTTGTGACGACTAGAAGACTTGCTATTTGCAAAGGATCCACGATCTTGCACATAACAGGACCAAGTTTCCAAGACCACGGCGGTTCATCGGCATGGACTCGAAACACCACGCAAACTGAGCCGAGAATTTCGGCAAAAGCCAAATTGCTGACAAGGTAATGAGCGAACGGTTTAGCTCCGCGCTGTCTCCACACTGCGCGACACACGACAAAGTTTCCAACCAGTGAAAGCGCCATTAACAAGCTGAAAATTACGGTACGAATAATTCGTAAGCCCTCTGGTTCAGGAACGAACGAGTAAGAGGTGCCATCTGTCCCGTTGTTTAGCGCGCACGACGACATCATCAGAGAAAGTCCTTCTGCTGGTTGCCGAAGCTAAAGTGACTGAAATTTAAGAAGGAGGTGAAAATCATCTTGTTGAACGTGAAACGAGCTCTAAAGCATCAACTAACCTTTTGGAGAATCTCACAGCGAGTGTCCTTTTCATAAGCCAAACCGTTCATTCCATGGACCTTTAATTTTCATTCGCTTATCAATTTTTTTCAATTTAGTTTTCTATCTAGAAAACTGACGGCAAAACTCCACAAACAAAAAACCTATTAGCAGAAAAGTGGTTTTAAACCCATTTTAAAAACAATTACCTTCGTCTGTAATTACGGCGATGTATTTTTATGCCGCTTCAATTCAGAAAATGGTAGAGGAGCGGCGTTCACCTTTGAAAAAAAACCCTTCAGCCACTTAGTTCTAATAGGTAAAGTCTGAAAAGCTTCATATCTCAGCCAAACACTCCTTCAATATATATGTTTCGGACTAAGAAATGAATTAAAACACTGCCCGCTGTGTTGACTGAGATAATTGAGCGACGCGGGACGTAAAATATTCAAAATTTGTTGTAAGGTGGCTGTTGATAATCGTAACATTGATGTTGAGCCAAAAAAAAAAGCGCATTCTCTATCCTGTTTACCCTCCACGAAGCTCTTCATCAAAATGGCGCGACATTTTTTCGAGGACGGATATTAAAATTTAAAAGAAAATAGTAAACAGAACTTGAAGCTATTAAATACGTAAGCCCATTACAACCAGGAACAGCTGCCACCTTTTGGTCATTTACGTACTGAGTAGAAATGAATTAAATAAAACCACAACTGGAGGTAAAACCGTCTGAATTGCTCAACTTACATTGCCCAGTCGGGAGTGACGCCTGCGTGTTTGAGGAAAAAAGGCGATAGAATTTAACAGCTATAAGAAACTAAGCTGCATAGCAAAAGAAAAAAAAAAGTGAGAGAACTTTGTTTACCATCTATTTTCCTTAACAATCATTGTCTTTTTGAGAGAACAAGAGAAATTATTTGTTTACAATCGAACTGACTTTTAGGTGTCAATTCTGTGATGAGAAGTCTTTTTCACGCAAGTAATTGCACAGCGCTTTGTTTCGATAGTCCTTGACGTGACGTTTTTCTATACCTTTGACTATAGGGGTGTTGGATGCAGAAAGGAGTTATTCCTTCGTTTACTTTTCACCATCCCATCAATCGGTTTTACATTATCACCCTGTGTTCCTAATTATAACAGGATGTATTGTTTCTTCGTTTCTATGGGGGCTTTTAAACAGGGTTACTTTAGCTATGTAAAACTCAATTATCATTTTCGAAAGCTATTAGTCAAATTTTGGTAAAACAACCAATTGCAGAGCGGCAGTTTAAGGCTGTTTAAGATGTAATTAACGTCAAATTAGTAATTTAACTCAGGGGTGATTAGGACGCAGAAGCCAGCATTTATCTTCGCACAGCAACAGCTGTATTCAGCGTGGAAGTTGAAAATAACCAGTTTAAATCTGGCTCTCTAGAATTATCATTATCTTTTATTATTTGGGTGCGAGTGCCCGGCGGAGAACTTCGTTTAATTTATGCCACGTCTGGTGTTTTGAATTCACGATCATTATTCATCTTTAATGTGAAAGAAGACTCATTAAATTTTGCTTAAGAATAACCTGGCGTATGGATTAGACAGGCATCAAATGATAGAAAACAATTTTAGCCGAACTGTTAACGATGGGAACATGGCTTCATCATGAGTGTTAACATTAGGATTAAAATCGTTTTTCCTTCTTCCTAAGCCATTTGACGAACAGTTAAGCCAGACGTGAAAATTTTCGCTTCTCTTGTTAAGAACTCAGCAATTAGAAAATTGTTTTGGAAATGTGTTATCAAATGAAATATCTAAACGAACGTAAATTGTCATCATAGAGCGCTTGGCTCTGGAAAAATTATTCTAAGTTCCTTCCTCACAGCCTGTCTTAAGCCTTTTTTTCTTCCATCGACTCATTCATTTTTAATACTTTCTTGTTACTTTTCCCTTTTTCCCCTCTCTTTTATTTGTTCACTTGTCTGCCCTATTTTAAATTAACAGAGGAAAAGCGTAATTAAACTATATCAGAAATGTTTATTCAACGCCTCTTGTTGAAAACGAAACGTACAAAAATGGAAAATTGGTAAAGAAATTTTCAAATGGGTATCATAAGTGATACGTGTTTGGATTGGTTTTCCTCTCTTACATTTTGTGAGTGGCCTCTTGTGATATTTATTATTTTTCTGAAGGCCACTGTGATTTCTTTGGTTATGGTGTTGGTAAGCTTAATCAAAGAACGCTCTAATTCACCAACAATATCTTGGTAGATGAGGCTTCGTGTGCCTGACACTCACAAAGATTTGAGTGAAGAGATGATAAACTGTATTCTCTTGATGGAGTGTAATTTAAGAGTTACGTTTTTAAAGCGCCATCATTGTATGAGTTGTCTACTTATCATGTTTTTGCATAATTAATTGTCTATGTAACATGTCGTTGATTCAATCCTACGCTTTTTGCACAAATACTTGAAACATTTGACTGTAGTGGCGCTCAAATGGCGTTATTCGCCCTCACCTAACCCCTTGTCAAAATTTCTTACGCTGCAAAACCATTTTCTAAGCATAGATAATTTCATTTTATTAACTCAGTTGATAATGTAAATTGGCCACCCTAAAGAGTTTCTAAATCTGACGTTTCGAGCGTTAGCCCTTTGTTTCGCTCTGACGAAGGGCTAACGCTTGAAACCTTGGATACAGAAACTCTTTACACTATCAACTCAGTTGCATGATACAACCAAATTGTCTTGTTTTACAAAGGGGGTAAGTTTCTAAAGAAACTGGTGCTTCATCGGTGGGAGAGTGTAACAGGGCACTTTGGTCTTATCAACTAAGTTGATAACGTAAATTGGCCACCGTAAAGAGTTTTAAAGCTGATGTTTCGAGCGTTAGCCCTTTGTCAGTGCTAATGGAGGAATTGTGGGTTGTGTATGTTTATATGCAGAAAATGGAGTTACGCTATTGGTGTAAATAATGTGACGAAAAAACAATAACAAATTAGTCGATTGATAAGCACTTTTCATTCAACTAATGCGTGGTTGTGAAGGTGAAACGTAAGAGAGGATGGAATGCGATCGGTATTCTAATTCCAAAACGTTGCCTATGTTTTTGACGCGAAAATTTTCCTATAGGTTTCACCACCACAGAGCATCCAACCCCTGTCCACTTTGGTGCTGACTGTCGATCAATTCAATTTGTTGGGCGCGGTGGTGGCTCGCTTGAACGACAGAAACAGGATAGCCACATTTATCGAAAAACTGGCATATCCCCTCTAATTTTTTGGGAAAAAAGAAACTGGGAGCTGGTCATTGTGTTGGTCCCAGATAAACCCGTGAGGTGAAAAATAACTAACCAGCTCCCAGTTAGCTTGTTAGCTCAGTTGGTAGAGCGCCGCACCAGTATCGTAAACGTCATGGATTCAAATCCCGTACAGGTCTGACTTTTTTGTCAGGCCTCATTTTCACTACTGCTCAACTAGTTATCATAACTGCGAAGATCGCTTCAATATCCTTTTCTTTATCAGCAGTTCACATATGTGATTTTCATATAATGACAATCAAAATCAGAATCGTCACTGTACAAACGACGAAGTATAAAAAACTAATACTCAAAGTAAATATGGGTGTCTTTAGGTTTGTAGCCTAGTAAACACTAGTACATAGACCGTTACCTTCAATTAAAATTTGATTCTAGAAAAGCCAAGAAGTGTCGGAAATATCCCAGGTATATTTCAGAGCCGGGTAAAGGCAATTGACGGCGGTTAGAAATTGAGTGAGTTTCCCTCTGGTAGAAGACGTTGCGCCGATGCAGTCTTCAATGTAGCGACCGTAGCCGAGTGCAGGTTTAGTTCCGTTGTTTTGACTGAAAAATTGGTGTTCGATAAAACCTATCAAAAGATTGGCGTAGCTGGGTCCCATTTTGGTTCCCGTGGCTACGCCATTAGTCTGTTTGTAATAGTTGCTACCGAATGAAAAGCAATTGAGTGTTAGTGCTAGTTCGGCTACACGGAGTAGTGTTTCAAAGCTAGGTTCCTTAACAGTGCGTGGATCGAAAAAATGTTTGATGCAGGAGACCTTCGTCATTGGGGATGAGAATTTAAAGAGATTTAATATCCACAGTGAAAAGAAGATTGTGATGGCCAAGGAAATTAAAGTCGCGCAAAATTTCAAACGCGTGTTGGCTGTCCTTAATGAATTATGGTAAAATCAGACACTATATAATTTGTCGTACTCCCTCCGGCGCAACACCACAGTTTCTTTAGAAATTTACTCCTTTTATTCCTTTCTAAGCATACCCAAACACCTTTAATTTCAAAAGGGATAAAAAGGCCGGTGTCCATGTTATCTTGAATGACAGACTTGTTTATTAGGATATGAGCAATTTTCATAAGCGTCAAAAGTAATCCTTGATTTCCCTGGTTTCACCTTACTCTGCTCTTTGATTGGTGCCGAAAAACCCGCATCACCCAAACTGAAACCAATCACGATCTTGGTCGCTCGCGTCTCAAGAAGTTTGCCTGTTTTTATTTTGACTTCTCTTTGGCTCCTTGTGATATTTTCCTCCCCTTTGATTGACTGTTGAAATTACTTTGGTACTCTATCAAAATTTCTCTCAATACGATACTTGGAAATGCCATCCTAGCGGGGTGCAAGGTAGTCCAAAATTCCCTTAAATATCGATTAGAAATTCAAGAGAATGTGAGTATATTACTGCATCGCGACAATTGTCTTATAAGTTTCACCACCGCAAAGCAGCCACCCCTGTCCACTTTGTCTTTTACACGCGAAAAAAATCTTACACCTAAAAATTCTAACGTGTGTACGGTCAGTCCCTCTCCTGAAAGGAAATGGGAATGACGGAAAAGACTCTGAGTTTTTGAGGGGGGGAGGGTGGCTCTCCATGGGAAGAATTCGTGAGGTGGCTGTTTGTATCGGATTCTGAAATCTTGTAAGTCGGGATTTTCCGACCCTTTGTTCTTCTCAAAACCGCTCGATGATCCTTGTCGCTTTGAACCCCGAGAACTCCTAAGGTGTCCTGTTACTTTTCGCTAACTGCTTTTCAGTTTCACGGCTAATCTATTTTGTTCTACAATACCACAATTTTCAATTAAAAATGTCTTCGTGACGGCCACGTGAGGAAAGTCACGAGCCAGCGACAACAGAATTAGTTGAATCAGCGTCGTGCCTATTCAAATTCAATATGGCGGCGATTTCAGTGGCCAAGCGAGCAACTTTGCTCTTTCGAAGATCAATTTTACCTGGTAGAGAAGGGTTTGTATCAGTCAGAGCTCTGTCGGTTACCAGCGGCAAAAGAAAAGAGGAAAGTTTTTTCTCAACCCTTTTTGGATCACAAGTTGAGAAGCCGACAGACGCGCACTCGAAAGTTTTGACGGAGAAGGAAACCCTCTATGAGTTTGAATGTAAGTTTTATTTGTAAATTGACTACATTTTTTGTAGTTCATCACTTAACAGTGGTTGTAATATTTCTAAGCCTTATTTGTAGTTCTAGCTTGCTTGTAATCACGAAAGTGTCGAAATTATATGAAAAAGGGAAGGAAGTTTAATAAGTGGAACATTAAATCGAGAGTACTGAGAGTACTGGCATTACTGAAATCAGGTTGATCCCACTGAAAACATAGATGAGCTGCAGAGCAAAGCTTAAAAGAAATTAATATTATTTGCGAAATATAGCGAAGAGAGTAAAATATAAAAATACTTAATTACTGTTGCAGATATTTAATAATACGTTTCTAGCAACTCTTATCAAACTCGTCTGTGGGCTCAAAGGAGTGATGGTGGGGAGGGGGGGGAGATAAAATTTTAACTTCGACCACGAGTAATGGAAAGCGTACAATATTAAATTGGACAAGGACTTTCAAGGTGCTTTCTTTAGCTAACAGGAATTTGAAAAGGCTGTTGCAGAATTTCATGAGAAAGCATGTGGACTCTTATAGAGCTGGGAGGTTGCAGGAGGTGACAGCAGGGGAGGGTGGAGATTTCGGAGGGCTACAGATAAAGTGAACGTTTCCAGACTTGCTATTTATTTTGAATCAATTCCTTCAGTCCAACTTGACATGTATGCCAATCAACATTTATTTTCTTGCTGGCTTGTCTTGTTATTTTATTCTGAAACCACTGTGCCCTTCCCCATTTTAACAACCTCTGTGTTTTGTGTCTTCTTTGTAGTCAATGATGTAAAGCCTGAGTGTATTGAAGATTATGTGGGTCTGGTGTAAGTATCTCATTATGAGATCAAGGCTTTTATTGTAGTTGTTGTCTACCTTTGACCCTTCCATTTTCTCTCCTATTTTATTCAAAACAGATGAAAGAATTTTCCTTCATGATCTTCAAGTAGTTTACAATATTTTCTTTATGAAATTGTTTCAGATCAGAGTTTTTACCAAAAATTAGTGAAGATGATCAATTTCCTGGTGAGTTGGTAGGAGCCTGGACAACCATGTTTGGAAGACTTGATCAAGCAAGTATGTGAAACATTCAAATATTAACCTTCTATACCCTAACATTAGTATCTCTATTCTTGATACTCCTCTCTATACATTTCCTTTGGTACTGATAAGGAGAATTGTTTAACACTCAGAGCTTCTTAGGTTGGCAATTATTTCCTTTATTCCCATAACCATTATGAATGATTCAGTAGAATTCCTGTAAGGAGAAATAACATGCTAGGGGCTCTCATGGTTTAAAGGGTGAACATGTTATTTGGTATCCAAATTCAGCAGTTTCAGGAAAATTTCTTGAGGAATGTTGATGTTAAAACATCATGCTGTGGTATTTCTGCTTCATGATTGGTCTCGTAAAGTCAATCAATTGCAGAAGTTTGGCTTCTTTTTTTAGCCACAGTTACACCCCCCCCCCATGCCATCACTAAAGAGTCTTACTCTTTTACACCCTAACATCAGTATACATATTCTCTACACTATTTGAAAGGTACTGATAAAGAGAATTTGTTCAGTAATCAAGAGCTTCTTTAGTGGGTAATAATTTCCTTTCTTCTCTTGATGTTAATGTTTGATTCAGTGGGATTATAAATTACATGATGATAACTCTAAGAGGTCATAGGGTGAAGAGTTTAAATTGCTTTTTTTGTTTGGTTTTTAGTTCATTTTTGGAAATACAGAGGAGGGTTTAACTCTGTGATGAAGGCTAAGCAGTATGTCAGAGAAAACAAGGTTGGTAAATTTAATATTTTACTTTTTATTCCTTTTTCTTGGTATGGTGAAGGCTGTGAAAAAAACTAAAGTTTTTCAGAAATACTTTAGAAATACTAAGTACAATGTATCTTACTGTCAAAGTAAGAAAACAGTTTCTCAGTCAACCTCTCCCTTTGTCCTACCATCATGAAAATGCAGTTAGTGGAGACCAAGAAGTCCTTGTCCAAGAAGTTTTGTTGAAAATTTTGTTTATATTAAAGCAATTTGAAGCACACAAGTTTTTATATCTCTTCACTGATATCAATGTAAACACAATTCTGAATTTCTGCTTTTCACATCACTAGAAAGGTACAGTTGCACCTTGTCAACCGGCTCTCACTGTTTACACCCAATTATGGGTATGCATATTCTCCATACTGTTCTCTGTACATTTCCTGAGGTGTTGATCAAGAGAATTTGTTTAACAATCAAGGGCTTCTCATTTCCTTTTTCTTAGGACCCTAGTGTTTGATTCAGGGATGATATTGCAGGGAGAAATTAGATGCTAGTCACTCTTAGTGTTAAGGGGTTAACAGCAGAAGATGCATTGTAAATGTACCAAAGATTTTGGCTTCTCTCTCCAGGAGTATCTTGAGTTTGCAAGAAAGAGACGAACCATGTTGAATAACAGGGAAACTCAACTTCTCCATGAATTCACCTTTTTTGGTGAACCAGAGGCACGAGCCCCAAGCCATATCTATGAACTGAGAACGTATCATCTTAAGGTAAAAGACCTGTTGCAGAGAAGGCTTTTTTTTCAAAAACAAAATCAATTCCTTTTTTTGTGCATTTATTAGCTGTGGAAAATTAATCTAGAATGATTCTCAGACTTCAGTCTTAGTTT